TCTGAATTGCCTGAATCAGACCCCCGCCGGAAATTCAAGGGTAGGACGGTTTTCCATGGAAACAATGTCAGAGACGAGAATTCCGATCACGCACTCTTTAATGAGTTAGGCTCTTCCCCAGCATCCATGGAAGCAGCAAAGCTGCTAGATGCTTTCGGTAGTCAGCCCGGATTCTCCAAACAGCAGGCAGATGCTATCCAAGCCTACATACAAGCCCTCTTCACAGGGGTGCCCACATGGTTATCACTTCCTCGAAATCGGTGGCCAAAAGATTGGGAGAAAAAGTACTGGCAACCCATGGTTCCTATGTTACTTGCTCTTTACGGTCATCCAGATAGTGGGGGTATTTGGGAAAATCATCTCAATAGCCGTGTGGTGAAACAAGGTTGGAAGCAAATTTTACCTGACATTTGGCATTCAATTTTTCATCATCAAGAGCTCAACTGTCTGTTGGTTGTGTATGTAGATGACTTCAAGATGGCTGGACCCACTGCCAACATGGAAAAGGCATGGGCAAGCGTCAAGGCTGCAGTGAACATTGGTGATCCTGAGCCATATGATCGCTACTTTGGCTGTATGCACCGTGAATTTCAAAACATCCGGTTGCCTTCGCAGGCACACCCATTCGCATTCGCCTTTGAAGCCAAGAAGTCAGCAGCCGCACAACACAGAACACAAGACTGGTGGGAGCATGATGAAACAAACATGGCATGGATCAGACATCATGTTCAACCCCGCAAAAGATTGTACCAGCCGGGTGATGAGGGGGAGATGTAACTTGTCAAAATTCGAGTCGCATAACTTTCTTTGACAAAAAGGTCACACTAAAAAGTTGTCCTAGCATCACCGACGGGAACAATCAGGGGGGCTATGATGTTTATACAGATGATTGGAAAACATCTAGCAATCAAGCAAATGAATTCTGGACAGGAAAAACAGTTTTCTGTTATGGACAAGATGGACCAGACAAATTCAAGCACTTTGCAATGGCAAGCAAAGCCAGACCAGGACCACATCGCGACAAACGCGAGGCGAAAAAGGAAGCCAAGGCCTCTAAGTTCAGGGGTGAAAACAAAAGCTGGCGTCATGGCCAAGCCCGTGAACTTAGTTAGGTATGACATGAGCGATTTCCTAGGGTCCTGTGTAGAAAACTATTGCAATCTTGCAAAAGTCAGTCCATCATCCTTGAAAGAGGTGCCAACACTTTTCACAGATGCCGGCATAGCGCGGCCCACACTCAGTGAAGATGAAAAGCCTGGCAAACTCCAGCCAGTGGCTAGCAAGATCTTGATGAAAATTCTGTTCGCCGCTAGAATGGCCAGATTCGATTTGTTGCGTGCCACACAAAGCTTAGCATCTCGGGTGACGAAATGGTCCGTAGAATGCGATGTCGCATTGCACAGATTGGTGTCACACATAAATTGTACAAAGCACCATTTCTTAGAGGGTTTTATTGGGGATGCCTTTGATGAATGCCAACTCTGGCTGTTTGCCGATGCAGACCACGCAGGTGAACATGATAGCAAGAGTACATCAGGTAGTGCCATAGTGCTTGTTGGCCCCAATACCTATTACCCTTTAAACGCATTCAGTAAGAAACAAACAGTTGTTGCCATATCTTCAACTGAGGCTGAGGTAGTTGCCGCAAATCACAGCATGAGAGCCGAGGGCATTCCAATGCTGGCCCTGTTTGAGCAATTGAATCTTTTCAAGAAGCTTCAGGGTAAATCAGCTCGCGATGCCGCGAAGCCCCAAGAGGATGTTGCGTTCACCAGGATTGACCCTGAGATTGACGATATCCGTAATGGGAATGTCGATACGGGTTGTAGTGTTGCAGACATCAACTCCCTCAAGGCCAGTTTCCCTGACTTTAGACTGTTCTATCTGTTGGTGTCCACATGGGTAGACATATTTCCGAACATTATTGTTTGAACCAAGCATGGATAAAACATACATTCACGCCAACCGAAGGAGAAACATATAGTAAGTTGCAGCTGTTTCTGTTCACATCTTCTGTTTCCATAGCACTATATGCATTTGTCAGGGGCAAAGGTTGTGTTTGTGTAGAGCATCGTCCGTCTGTGGGTGTCGATGGGTGTCGAAAGCATTGCAACTGAACATTCGATGCATTATGTCTGATGAGGCATGGTTAGCAAGGGTTAGGTGTGTGTGTGTGTGCATGTTTCATGTTGGTTTTGCGTTTTGCGAGAGTTGTTCAAATTGTTTGATAAAAGGACGTTAATCAACCACATTTTGCTGTATGTTTTAATATGCAAAATGATTCAAAAGTCAACAGATAGAATATTCCAGCTACATGGAGTGCCAGCTTTGCTGGCTCCAGCCAATCTTTTGTACCGTTTTGATTGAAAGAAGTGGCATACAAGCCAGTCAATAAATTATGAGTGAATGAATTTGTTTCCAAACGTGCAAATGATTTTCTGGAAACTTAGATTTGATTCGTTTTTTTCAAATTCATCATTTATCATAGTTTCTGTATTAATCGATCTTTCGATTGACTTTGGACTATTCTGTCTGTTGGTGTCCACATGCATGGGGTAGACATATTTCCGAACATTATTGTTTGAACCAAGCATGGATAAAACATACATTCACGCCAACCGAAGGAGAAACACATAGTAAGTTTCAGTTGTTTCTGTTCACATCTTCTGTTTCCATAGCACTATATTACATTTGTCAGGGGCAAAGGTTGTGTTTGTGTAGAGCATCGTCCGTCTGTGGGTGTCGATGGGTGTCGAAAGCATTGCAACTGAACATTCGATGCATTATGTCTGATGAGGCATGGTTAGCAAGGGTTAGGTGTGTGTGTGTGCATGTTTCATGTTGGTTTTGCGTTTTGCGAGAGTTGTTCAAATTGTTTGATAAAAGGACGTTAATCAACCACATTTTGCTGTATGTTTTAATATGCAAAATGATTCAAAAGTCAACAGATAGAATATTCCAGCTACATGGAGTGCCAGCTTTGCTGGCTCCAGCCAATCTTTTGTACCGTTTTGATTGAAAGAAGTGGCATACAAGCCAGTCAATAAATTATGAGTGAATGAATTTGTTTCCAAACGTGCAAATGATTTTCTGGAAGCTTTGATTTGATTTGATTTTTTGTGTGGTATGAAGAAATCCACCATGGATTTATTTGATCTATTGTGATCATCTTGAATATTCTATCTGTCAAACTATACATGTCATTCATTTTGGGTATTCTATCTGTTGTCTAAGAAATTTTGAATATTCTATCTGCTAGATACGTAATATAGTCCTTGTAAAATGAAAAAGAACACATGGTCCCAATAGCTAGGTTAGCCAGTGGCCTATCTGTTGGCACCAGGGACAACAGTGGAGCATTTTACCAGGAACCCAAAAATTGATTTTCATAGCCTTTTTTTTTCGATCAATCTCAATAGCACAGCTCTATTCAAAAAAGCATTTTTGGGGCTCGATCTAGCCGGGAGGTCATTCGGTTGTGATTTTGAGTAGCAGCAACTTAGTCCCTGTAAAATGAAAAAAAACACATGGTCCCAATAGCTAGGTTAGCCAGTGGCCTATCTGTTCGCACCAGGGACACCAGTTGAGCATATTACCAGGAACCCAAAAAATGATTTCCCTAGCCTTTCTTTCCAATCAATTTCAATAGCACAGCCCTATCCAAAAATGCATTTTTGGGGTTCGATCTGGCCGGGAGGCCATTTAGTGTTTTTGAGCAACTTAGTCCCTGTAAAACGAAAAAAACACATGGTCCCAATAGCTAGGTTAGCCAGTGGCCAGGATCTCTTTTACAGCACATTTCTTAGTTTGAGTTCGTCATCCACCCACAAAATGTTTTTTTTGCAATAGGACAGGATTCATTGACAACAGGTCCACTAACATAGCTACTGAACTTCAGAGGATTTAAAAACAATATACAAACGACATATGTCATATTTAAGCTTACTTGTTGGATGAAAACTCAAGGCATTGGCACCAATGTGTGCCATGCATGCTGCAATTGCCATGTTAGCTACCTAAGAGAACAAAAGGGGAAAAAAGTCACTTTATGGGTTGAGATGAAACAATGTGGAACAGAGTACAATAGCTATGTTAGGTATAGCTAATTTTACCAATAGTCAGGTTAGTTGGCTTCCTTCCATGTTGCAACCCTTGAGACACAAAATGATAGCCAGGTTAGTTGGTTTTCCTTGGCCAGGGTCTCTGGGGAACATGCTGGCCTGGGAGACCGAACTGACGTACAGGTTAGTGGTGTAAAATTCGAAAACGCATAGCTACGTTAAATTACCGGAGAGTAACGACAATGGGGATGAACGAAAGCAACCATATTGTTTGCTTCACAGAAGGCTGGAAGCCACAAAAAGCAATAGGAAACAGATTCACGATGGCTGGCCCCTGTTATTTTCAACTTGCTTTGTGGCGAATTTAGTTTCCTCAGCATGCTTTTCAGTCGTTTTGCCCGCATTCGTTCACAGCAGCGTGATTAAAATGCACGGGTGCATCGTGCGTCATAAGCTAAAGCAAGTTGCTCATAGGCACAAATTACAGCTAAAACCTTCCACAACCGTTTTTCTAGAATTGCAGGACAAGATAACCCCACATGGTAAGCTTTTCTGTACAACGGAATACGGTGGGTTGTGATGGTTAATGTCGATGTGTGTTGAGGCGGAGGAGATCGTATGAGAGCGGTGACTGAAAAGTTGACGGAGAGACACAGACCAATAGAGAATGGAAACGAAGAATTGGTTCACTGCTTGCTTGATTGGTTGACAGGGTTGATGCATGGATGGATGGATAGATAGACAGATGGATGGATGTGTAGCTAGATAGCTCGATAGCGACTTATAGATGACAAGATAGCCACATAGCTAGATAGATAAACAAATATACGTATATATAGATTAGTAAACTGAGATACGGGATACGTAGACAAACAAGCAGTCAAACTGACAGACAGACGAACCAACAGATCAAAGAAATATGCCGCCAACCGGTGTCAGGTGGTGCTTTGCCTCGGGGCGGTCACTTGCGTCTTGACCATTTTCGCCTTTGCCATCTCCAGCATGACCCGCGAGGCGCAGATGCTGAGGGATGGTGGTCAATGGTCAAGGCCCGCGTTTGTCCTTTTCCTTGCATGCATATTTACATTATTTGACCAATGTTGTGCTGATGCACCAGGCGGAAGGTTTCCCTTCAATCCTTTTTCGTTTGAGTAGCTACATGAAATATCAGGGTCAGATTTGATAGCGCAAAAAGTCAAGGCACACTGGCCTAAGTCCGTTGCTGAGCCGAGTATCCGAGGCCACGCTCTTGACAAGCAAAGATCCTTGGGAGAAGAGCTGCATGACGCCCTAGATCACATATGGCTGTTGGTTCTGGAATGTTCCAGGATGAGGATGTTACATGATGTTACAAGTTTTTACCCGTGCTGCTCGATTAGCCTAGCTGTCGAGCCCACCCAGTGCCACGTTGCCTTGTTCCCTCTTTTTTTATGTTTCTTTGGGGTGGGTGCTGCATGGTATTATATGGTATTGCCCCCAGTAGTTTTCTTCCGTGTTCTTGGGTGCAGAAAGCGGTGCTGCACGCTCATGGAACCAGAAGTCGTAGGAGTAGGAAGCAATCAACTTCGCCATGCAGCGCGTGTTTTGCCATAAGAATATACAGAAGGATTATGGACGGGTGTGCCGTATGGTTTACGTGGTTCTTCTCAATTTTTGACGTAGATGAGGTCGCTTGATTGGCGGATGAAGCAGCCAGGGCTTTTAGGATGCTGTTGCGCTTGCTGGCGTTGGAATTGCATCGGATCATGCCGATTTCACCTGAGGAGTTTGCTGGCATGGGATGCACAATGACCTCCTTGGTGCAACTGGCAGTGGGCATCATGGACATGGAGCCTTGGACATTTTAAGCATGCAGCACGTGCAGATTTTCATCACGAAAGGTAGTGCCAGCTGTACCAGAGTTCATGCGTGCACGCACTCGGGCGGTCCGTGGTTCCCCGTAAGCATGTTTTGGGCCAAGAAGGAAATATACACTTGACTGGCTTGGGAGTTCCTTCGGGGTGCTATTTGATTCCTGGGCGGGGCATGTAAAGGAGAGCGCTGGGAGTGCCTGAGGCAGGCTTGCTCCATCGCAACTCAACATGACACCTTTTTTTAAAAGCCAATTTTCGATTATTTTGTCTACAAAAAAATCCCCGGTCCCATTGCTCATCCTGCTTTCATGCTTTCAGCATACAATCTCCACGTGTTACTTGGAACAGGCGCTTCCAGTTTCAGATCGTTGTTGATGATGTCCTTTCTGCCCTTCGCCGGCCCCTTCTCAATCAGCACGTGTAGGTGGGGTAGAGCGCCTATGGCCATCAGCCTAAACATTTTTTCCCAACGCCATCATACAGCAATTAGACACCCTTCATGCTCATCGCGCCTTCTTCTCATGTGACATGTTCAGCCCGATCATCGCGACACGGCGCCCACAACATTGCCGAATACTGCCGAAGCATTCAGCGTAGCAAGGAGAAGATCGGCAGCATTTCTGGTGAAAGTCCATATTTTCTTGTTGTGGCCTGGCTTTAGGTGGTCTGGGCGCCATTCTTTGCATGAGATTTCTGTTTGGCAGTACATGAATGGACGGAAGGCGACAGAGGCTTGCACAACCCAAGCCAAGATGGAACGGGTTGCCCTGGCTCCTGGATTCTATCAATTTACCAAGTTTGCTCATGTTTGGTTGAGGTTCTTGTGGCTTACATGCTTGTTGTCTACAGCTTCTTCTTTAACCTCCTGGTGTCGCGCCCTGGCTCAAGGGCGCCATTTCACAGCAACCAAGCAGTCGCTCTTAGTAATCTGCACCCAGATGCCGGTGAGGATGGAATTTGACAGCATGAGTGGCAACCTAACCTCCCGTGTGAGTTAGGTTTATCCTGGTGCAACTGATGCTTTGATCTCTGCAAGTTGAATTTACATGTATTTACCAGGCAGTTCTGCGGTATCTACACCGCTCTCGCAGCAGACATTCAAGGATACGCAATGCCACTTGGCAAGAATTCATTGAAAATGGTCTCACAAACCAGATGACACGGGGGCTTGAGGCCCCTGGCGAAATCAACAGTTTCAGAAGCAGCGTGCAACTGTTTTTTTCAACCCTCGCAGTGTTTTATGAACATCGATAGTTGTAAAATGGCCACGAAATGCCATGAGGACAGGGTCCAAAAAACACTTTCAATCGTATTTGCGGGGGATTGTGCGCCCCATCATCTCCAAAACTGTTTTTCAACAATTCCCTTCATCCTCCATTTTTCGGTTCCGTGGCCAACAGCCAGAACAAGTTCTTGTCGACATTGTTCTTTCCCCATACATATTGATATGTTTGGCTGAACAAATGTGGATTGGGCAGGCCATCGACGCGTGTCTTTACACAATCACAGCTGGAAAAAAACAAAGTAGAGAAACCGCAAGAATAAAAAAAACAGGGTATCAAGACTTATGTCATCTTATCTCACTTCATCTGCATGAACCATGAGGAGCGTAGCAGCAAAAGCATCAACTCATGTGCCACGAAGAGTGCACAGCGTATCAACACGTATGTCACTTCATGTACATGAACCATGAGGAGCGTAGCAGCCAAAAGTATCAACTCATGTAAGACGAAGAGTGCACAGCGCATCAACACGCGTGTCACTTCATGTACATGAACCATGAGGAGCGTAGCAGCCAGAAGTATCAACTCATGTACCACGAAGAGCGCACAGCGCATCAACACGCGTGTCACTTCATGTACATGAACCAGGAGGAGTGTAGCAGCCAAAAGTATCAACTCATGTACCACGAAGGGCGCACAGCGCATCAACACGCGTGTCACTTCATGTACATGAACCAGGAGGAGCGTAGCAGCCAAAAGTATCAACTCATGTACCATGAAGAGCGCACAGCGCATCAACACGCGTGTCACTTCATGTACATGAACCAGGAGGAGCGTAGCAGCCAAAAGTATCAACCCATGTACCACGAAGAGCGCACAGCGCATCAACACGCGTGTCACTTCATGTACATGAACCAGGAGGAGTGTAGCAGCCAAAAGTATCAACTCATGTACCACGAAGAGTGCACAGCGTATGAACACGTAAGTCACTTCACGCACATGAACTCATGTACCACGAAGAGCGCACAGGGTATCAACATGTATGTCACTTCATGTTCATGAACCATGAGGGAACGTAGCAGCCAAAAGCATCAACTCATGTACCACGAAGAGTGCACAGCGTATCAACATGTATTCAATATGTATGTCAGTTCTCGACAGATGAATCGTTAAGATCGTACCATCAAGAACGTTGTCACCCCACCCCCGTCCCCCGAAACCCCGACAAGCAACAAGCAGCGTAGCAACATGTATGTCCATTCATGAAGGTGAACCATGTACGAAACACCCCAGAGGAACTGGTCCGACATCTCTATGTCACAAGTATAGCGTCAAACGCATCTTCATCTTACACAACGTCAATCGAAATGTAGGAAATTCATGTCCAAAATATAAATGAGCAATCTGAAATTATCAGGGGCCCCGAGCCCCCGTGTAATCACAAACAAGGGCTGGTCCCTGTCCGGCTCCCTTTGTGCCCAATGCGTTCCGTGATCCGTTCCCACGTCACCGATCATCAACGACCTTGGGGGGTTGTTCCATGTTCTTCCCATCCCGCTGTGAATTACCAAGGTTGCTGCACACCAAATTTTCCGATAAGTTTTGGCATTGCAGTTTCAAATGAGCCTGGAAGCAGCAGGCAACTGCCCAATTTAACATATATTTTAATACTTGTTTGCAATTATATAATGATTGTGTACCAATATATATATATTAATATATATATATTAATATATATATACATATATGGATGTATGTATGCATGCATGTATGGTAATGTAATGTAGATGTAGATGTAGATGTAGATGGAATGTAGTGTAATGTAATGTATGGTAATGTAATGTAATGTAATGTAGCGTAATGAAATGAAATGAAATGTAATGTCATGTAATGTAATGTATGGTAACGTAGTGTAAAGCAATGCAATGTAATGTTATGTTATGGTATGTATGTATGTATGTATGTACAGTATGTATGTACAGTATGTATGTATGTTTTCAGGTACACGCATAGGATGAAAAGCAGAATCATTGCATTGTCTTTGTTTTGCAGGTTGGCGGTTGGCGTTTATTTTGGTAGCTCCTGTTTTGGAGCTGTTCTTGCCAGGCTTGCCAGGGGAGAAGTCATCCTGGACACTCTCAAGGCAGCTAAGGGACTTGAAGGGGTTGACCAACGATTTTGAAAAATATTTGGTATTTAAAAAAGGCAATTAAGTTCTTTTTGTAAACGTCCAAGCAGGGGTGTTGGTACGGAGCGAGAACACAACACTTTTCTTGCAGCATCGGAAGCTCAGGGCACGTTCTTGCCATCCACAGCCCAGCTCGATGCCGCAGGCGATTCCCATGAAACGGTGGCAACATTTCATAACGTCGTTGCGGCTGGACCAGCGCGTCGATTTTGAAGAAGGTGATATTGGCCTTCCAGGAGGCGCAGAGGGGGCAGTACATTGGGAAAGGTTTCGCGACCAGTTTGGCGCTCAGAGGTTTGTTCACAACTTTTGTTTTAACTTTGCATCTAAGCGGCGCTCGGAGAATTTGTGGCCCTTGGAGGTGGCCACAAGATTTGGCCTTCCCCGCACCATTGGTTCTTACGGTGATAGCACACAAGGGAATCCCTTAGGTACCACCTCCGTGACCCCAAATGTTCAGGGTTTGGGGTTATTCCTTTACTGACTTACGTCAGAGGGTAGTAGCCGTCAGGCGTGGTCGGCTGGCGCCGCTGTGTCCTGCTAGGCTTGACCCTAACAGGCCCTTAGATTCGAAGTGGCGTCGAGGCTTAGCCTCGAGCCGGAGGCTCGAGCGCCCATGTATATGGTCAACGGCGCCCTCGCCTGTTTAGGGTTTAGGGTTTAGGGTTTAGGGTTTATAGAAATTATATAGGGTTTGGGGGGGGAAAAACGTTTCGGCAAAAAGTTTCGGCAATAAGCTTCTGTCTTGCTTCTAAGCACAAACTGGCCCTAAGAGAGCCTAGAATTACCTAGGACTGCTTAAATTTGGGCCTGACGGCTGGTCGGCGCAGCGCTTAGCATCATATAGCAGCGTACTCGCGCATCTGAGGCAGGAGCACATATGCATTGGTATCCCAGTCGCCTTTCAGTGAAGGATCAGGGCTGCCAAAGAACTTCTAACGCAGTGAGGGCGCCCAAAAATCGTTACATAACTATGGTTGAAAAATGTGTCTGCTTGATCCACCTGTCCCTTCTCGTGGTTTCTCTTCCTTGTTGAACCACGGCATTTTACAACTTTTTAAGGATGGGGTTTTGTGTGCTAGGTGGGAATAGTTGAGATATTGGGTGCTTTTGTTTTATATCGTCGACCTTTCCTGGACATATTATTCCCGAAAGTTCCTGCCAAAAAAAAAGGCTTTCCTAAAGCGCCGCTGCAAACTTCATCTGGTTTTTTAGTAACACCATCACCACCATCATCATCAGCAGCAGAATCATGATCCACATCATCACCGTCATCAGCAGCTTTATCATCTCTATCATCACCATCATCATGGTCGTCATCATCATCATCATCATCACTTCCACCAAGTGCATCACCCACGCCGCTTACATCATGTACATCCACTACTTACTGTATTTCCTCTAAACGTCATCAGCCACTTCAGGGTCGCTACGTTACATACCGCTCTTGTTGTTCTCCGTGAAAAACCATTGATCCAGAAGATGGAATCAAGCGGTTCCAGTGACATGGTTGGTCTAGCGGCTAGCCAATGCTTGGAAGCACGTGGGTCAATCAAGGGCCAACGGGCAGGCACCTACTGTACATTCACCATCATTCACCAGCATGCCCCCGGCCAGCAGGAAAGGTGCAGGATGGGCTTCCAAATAGAAGTTTCCAGGAAATACCTACTGTACATCCCTTGGCGTGTCCCCCGGTAAAGCAATTAATGCTTTGAGGTGAAATGTAAGCCAGCAGGACAAGTTCAGGAAACGGGTTACAAATACTATAACGGACAACCACTTAGAATATTATAAATTATTTGAATAAGATAGAATATGTTTTTTGGGCTTTTTTTTGGTTGAGAGCAGTTAGAATACCTCGTTTAATAATGCAGATAGAATTTGAAAAATTTAACATGTCCAATCATTTAACCATTATTTTGCGATACGTCTCAGCAAACATTGCAACATAACAGCATTACCTTGCAACAAGCATTGTTTTTCATTAGGTTGAATGTTGCAAAAACAAAGAGATGATTAATCCCACAAATGATTAATCCCACAACAGCATTACCGTGCACAAACCAATGTTTTTCATTAGGTTTGATGCTGCAATAACAAAGACGTAATTGATCCCACAACAGCATTCGTGCAAAACCCGTTGTTTTTCATTAGGTTTGATGCTGCAAGAACAAAGACGTAATTGATCCCACCCACAAGAGCATTACCTTGCAAAAACAATTGTTTTCATTCGGTTCGATGTTGCAAAAACAACAATATAATTGATCCCACAACAGCATTACCTTGCAAAAACAATTGTTTTTCATTTGGTTCGATGTTGCAAAAACAACAACATAATTGACCCCACAACAGCATTACCTTTCAAAACCCATTATTTTTCATTAGGTTCGATGTTGCAAAAATCAAGACATCATTATTTTTTGGTATTTTTCCATGTTCTAACTGCATTTTTCATATTCTAAGTGCTAGATTGCCTCATTTAAACATCCAAACAATAATCAGCGTTCGGAGCTACTATTTTTTTGTTTATTTAATAAATCTTAGTTTTTCATATTCTAACTGAGTGTCCGTAACTGTAGCTGTTTCCAATGTACATCCTCCGTCCGGCGTATTCCCCGGCTCCTTTTTGGTAAAGAAATTGTTCAGTGTTCTTGAGGCCGGCAGGAAAACTTTTTCTGTTTCTAGCAACAATGTGACAAAATTACCGGTTGCAAATGCGTTTCAAACTTACTATCTTTAATATCGCGCTGCTAAAATGCAGGAAACAGCACTTTCATGTTTGGACGGCGTTGGATGTGCCTTTCCACTTCTCTGCCTGTAGCAGCTAACTTTCAATATCAAAATTTGGAAATGCTATTCAAAACTTGTCTATCTTTAGTATTGCGCTGCTAAAATGTACGACAGTTGCATGAATGAAATGACTGAAATGAATGAAGCGAAAGGAATGAAATGAATGAAACAAATGACATGAATAAAATGAATGACTCGAACGAAATGAAAGAAATGACTGAAACGAATTAATTATTTGAAACAAATGACTGAAATAAATGAAAGGAAGGAAATTAATGAAATGAAACAAACGAATGAAATGAATGATACGAATGAAATGAATGAAATAATTAATACGAATGAAATGAATGAAACGAAATCGAATGAAACAAATGAAAAGAATGAAACGAATGAAACGAATGAAATGAATGAAACGAATGGAATGAATGAAATGCATGACATGAATGAAATGAATGAAAAGAACGAAACGAATAAAATGAATGAAATGGATGAAATGAATGAAATATAATGAAATGAATGAAAGGAAAGAAATGAAGGAAAGGCATGAAATGAATGACATGAATGAAACGAGTGAAACGAATGAAACAAATGACACAAATATAATAAATGAAATGAACGAAATGAAACAAAAGAATGAAATGAATGAAATGACAGAAAAAATGAAACAAATATGTATAATAAATGAAATGAATGAAATGAACGAAATGAACCAAAAGAATGAAATGAATGAAATGACTGAAACGAATGAAACGAATAAAAGGAATGAAACGAATGACACGAATGAAATAAACGAAATGAACGAAATGAATGAAATGCACGAAACGAATGAAATGCATGAAATGCATGAAATGAATGAAACGAACGAAACGAATGAAATGAATGAAATGAACGACATGCACGAAATGAATGAAATAAATGAAATGAATGAAAGGAATGAAACGAATCAGATGGATGAAACGAATGAAACGAATGAAATGAACGACATGCACGAAATGACTGAAACAAATGAAATGACTGAAACGAATGAAAGAAATGAAATGAATGAAACGAATCACATGGATGAAATGAATGAAATGAATGAAACGACTAGAATGAATGAAATGAACGACGTGAACCAAAAGAATGAAATGAATGAAGCGACTGAAACGAATGAAAGGAATGAAACGAATGACACGAATGAAATGAATCAAATGAATGAAACGAATGAAACGAATGAAATGAATGAAACGAATGAAATGAATGAAATGAACCACATGAACAAAATGACTGAAATGAGTGAAATGGTTGAAACGAATGAAAGGAATCAAGCGAATGACATGAATGAAATGAATGAAACGATCGACATGAATGAAAAGATTGAAACGAATGAAATGAAAGACCAAACCCGCAGACCACACTTTGCGCGAGCCTGCAAAATCGAAATGCAGAGCAACATTTCACAAGCGCCACTTCTTACGAAAATTTACAGGACAAATGCCGCGCCTCAGAATGAGCCCAGAACGCGAACACACATTTTTTGCGAGCCTGCACAGTCGAAACGCATGTCAAGATTTCACAAGAGCCACCTGACGCAAAAAAAATGCAGGAAAAATCCGCCGCTCCAGAACCACGGCGCAGACGGTATGCAACCCAGCGCAATCGAAACGCATGTCAAGATTTCACAAGCGCACTTCATACGGAAATTTACAGGAGAAATGCCGCGGCCCAGATTGAGCCCAGAGCACGGACACACACGTTGCACGAGCCTGCGCAGAAACGCATGTCAAGATTTTACACGCGACGCTTTATACGAAAATTTTCAGGTAACATGCTGCAGAAGAGAGTGAGTCACCCTGATCAAGCACCAACCTTCGCATCTACCGTCAGAACTCCCCAATGTAGACACACTGTCTGGGGAAGAATGTTTTACATTCTAGCTGCCAAATAATAAATTCCGACCTTCAACCTAACATTCTATCTAACATATTTTCTCTAACGCATATTCTAGTTTTATCACCTACTCTGTCTACCTTTTGTTAACATGCTATGCAACATATATGCTATCTACCCAACATTTATGCGGTCATACTATCACATGGTTCTTTGGAGATTTCTTGCAGCTTACAGAATTTCAACATGCCCTTTACATTCTATTTAGCGCCTACTGGCCTACTTTAAGTAATATCCGGAACCAAGTAGCCAGGCCCACCAGCCGAGCCAGCCGAGCCAGCCGACCCAGCCAGCCAGCCAACCAAGCAGTCGGCCGGCTGCCCGGCCAGCCAAAAACAAAGCCAATCCAGAAGCATGCAGGCAGCCAGCCGGCCGGCCGCCCGGCCAAAACACAAGCTGAGTCTGGCCAGCCGGCCAGACGTGGCTCATACACACGCCTAGCCGGCCGGCCGGCCGAACTCAACACAGACCGGCTGGGCAAGAAATAGCCGGACGAGTTCCCCGCGCAGTCAAAACCAGCACAAACCAATGAACAATGCAAACGCATGACCTCGCAGATCAACATTCTCAGAATCCACAACTGAAGACAAAACTGCAGTGCGAACACACAACTTCGACAGGCAACAGTAGAACCTCCGCATATGCTGAGCAGACGCCGGCAGCACCGACAAAAATACCTGCCAAGCAACAATGTCTGATCTTGTTCTGATTGACGACTTCTGCTGGTTCATGACTGAAAACACTGCATGCATGTGCTCGAAGTGTTGTTTCCTAGAAATAGAAATGTCCTGCTGTACCCGGTGCCTTCAATGAAGCATGGGCATGTGCCGAGGGGCCAAAAACAGCGTCAGATGTTGACAGCATCAAGACAAGCACCTGGCAAGTAACATGTGCCAAATGCATCTCAATGTCGCGTGTGACAATGTGTGCAGGAGGCGGAGGAAGAGGCGGAGGCGGAGGAGCGGGATACAGAATCAAAAACAAGAACCCCACACAAAGATAAGATGTGTAGAATTTCGACAAGCCTGCACTTATTGTACCTCATGGTCAGGGATGCATTTCCCATTATCATTCTTAACTTAACCAACAACTTGTATGTTTCAACATGCTGAGTCAACACGCCGCCACTGCAACAAAACACGCCGCCTCAATCACATTTCATTTCAGGGTTTGCCATGTCACTTACAAGATTGACCCTAGCACATCTACAAAAAATAAGGGTCCCGTTTCTCCTGAACTGACCTGGACTTTTGAAATTTAGCAACCGAATGCTAGTATTGCGTAGAGGACAACGAATATCAGGAAAATATGGCCGGCTCGGCAAAAAATATCTTATTGATGGGTGTGCATGGCCAACGACATGGCCGAATACTAAAAGTGAAGATAGTGAAGGGGCGCAGTTGCAAATTAACACAAAGATTTGGGCCCGCCAAAAAAATATATAATACTGAGGTGGTGTGTTGTTCATCAGGCCGTAAGATTATTATTATTTGGTGTATCCCCCTTGGAATTTCCACTAAAGAATGGGACAACCCGGGTTGTCGCAAAAAACGTTTTTTTTGCTAAAAAGTGGTTGCAATCCACATGGCGAACCCGGACTCCCCATTTTTTGCAAAGGCTTCCTGGGTCAGGATTTTTTAGAGAGGGCATTTTGAGAGGGAATAGACAAGCTGATTGAATTTTTGCAATGTGCTAAAACTGCTGTTCTGCGCCGGCCACTGTTTGCATCACAGATGAATCAAGCAGGTTGCAACCATGACAACAACTTTCATGCATTTCCTAACAAGGACAATTTTATAGTGGTTGACATCCACATGGCTAACATGGACTCCCTATTTTTTAGAGTTCTGCTTTTGTATTTGTATTTTTTGTATCTTTTTGTAGTTGGTTGCCTGGGCCATGATTTTTTAGATGGTCTTAGACCCCCTTGATCCCTGGATATCCCTGGGTTGGCATTCTTTAGATGTGCCATTTCAGTAGTGCAAGGTGGACCGCCGTTTTTTGTCTAAAGAATGCAGGAGTCCATGTTAGCAGGGGAATTCCAACAGGTATTTTGGTGTGTTATTCATCATGCTGTCGCCTAGTGCCTTTTTCCTCCCAGCTGTTTCCGGGCTTGGCCGAAACACTGGGTTTGTGTTGGTCTTGTCAGAAGCCGGACGCGCACAAGCTTGGAGACTGCATTTCATAACAATAAATCAGGCGTCCATCGAAAGCGACCAACTGTGTCCTAGGATCCCAGGGCATTCAGACATTCACCTACAAGGACATTGGACATCAGCCCTTCAAAGAATGCGTTGAAATATGTCAAGATGACTGTGGCAATATCAACAAAGTCAACCTTTTCCAGGTGCAGCATGTTCGGGATGCAAAATCAATTAGCCGAGTGGCCGAGTCTTCTTAAATTAAGGCCAACAAGAGCTGGCACATATCATGGCTGCAGCATCAACTAAGCGCTTTTAAGATTGATGGTGGGGCAAAACATGGATGCAACATGATGCAACATCAACCTCGCACTATCAGTGGCGGCATATGGTCAGACATATCGTGGACCAGAGACGCGTCTGTCCAATATACCTGATATCGACGAAGCTACGAACTGGCAGCGCCAGCGGATGCTGACAAAGAACATGCCCTGACAGCAGAGGAGGAAAGGATACTGCACCACGTGCTGAACTAGTTGATACTTCTGTATGGGGACGGGGCTAAATGCGGCTAAAGGAGCCTAGGGTTGGAAAGGCAGAAATTGCAAACGCAAGATAGGTAGCAAGTTTGGTTCCCCACAAGGCCGTTTGTGTAGCACTATGGCGGCCGCCTCTCTGCCAACGGTGAGGCATCAAAACATGGGAGCCATCATTGGCGCATCCCACTACCCAGGAGCGGCCCTTTGAGATTTGGAGTTTCACACTTGCATCCTGACATTCCACAGAAGTCAACGCAGGTGTGTTTTTTTGGGGGGTCGGGCGTGTGTGTGTGTATGTGTGTGTGTGTCTGTGTGTGTCTGTGTGTGTCTGTGTGTGTCTGTGTGTGTCTGTGTGTGTCTGTGTGTGTGTGTGTCTGTGTGTGTCTGTGTGTGTCTGTGTGTGTCTGTGTGTGTCTGTGTGTGTCTGTGTGTGTGTGTCTGTGTGTGTCTGTGTGTGTGTGTCTGTGTGTGTCTGTGTGTGTGTGTCTGTGTGTGTCTGTGTGTCTCTGTGTCTCTGTGTCTCTGTGTGTGTGTGTCTCTCTCTGTGTGTGTGTGTCTCTCTCTGTGTGTGTGTGTCTCTGTGTGTGTGTGTGTCTCTCTGTGTGTGTGTCTCTCTGTGTGTGTGTCTCTCTGTGTGTGTGTCTCTCTGTGTGTGTGTGTCTGTGTGTGTGTCTCTCTGTGTGTGTGTGTCTCTCTCTGTGTGTGTGTCTCTGTGTGTGTGTCTCTCTGTGTGTGTGTGTGTGTCTCTGTGTGTGTGTCTCTCTGTGTGTGTGTCTCTCTGTGTGTGTGTGTCTCTCTGTGTGTGTGTGTGTCTCTCTGTGTGTGTGTCTCTGTGTGTGTGTGTCTGTGTGTGTGTGTCTCTCTGTGTGCGTGTGTGTCTGTGTCTGTGTGTGTGTCTCTCTGTGTGTGTGTGTCTCTCTGTGTGTGTGTGTCTCTGTGTGTGTGTCTCTCTGTTTTTCCCCACATTGATGTGTGGGGTTTTTGTTTTTAGTTCTGTATCCGCTCCTCGTCCTCCTCCTTCCCGTCCTCTCTCCTCACTCACTCACTCTCACTCACTCACACACACTCACTCACTCACAC